CAACCAATGTGGAATCGCATCTATGGCAACATTTCCCATCATGTAACATTCATAGGCTCATGTGTCACTAATGCAGACGGCAGAAGCTTTGCAACTCATTTTAAATCATCTTTATCTTAAAACATTTGCTTTCCATATCAATATCCACGATGTATCATGTTTTTTATGACGTCATTTATAGATCGTCATGATTCTGACGTCACCATTTTCTTGTTTATTTTTAGAAACCCGGTATTCTTCAAACTTACATTTTATTTGATTACCTCTTCGTTATTTGTCTTTCCTTGTGTATTTAAAAATAATGTTAAATTCCTATCAGAAGCAAGACAGATAAGGACCTTACGCGCGGGGCTATATATTGCGCATGCGCGAATTGTCAAATTAATAGTCTGGAAAGAGGAAAGATAATAAATGAATACTTTTCTTATACCTTACAAAGATTAGAGATTAGATAAAATGAAATGAGAAAACGATTAGTTTGGCTCTAATTTGTGCTCACACTATTATTGAAATGTGTCAAAATACAGTATTTTGCTAAATGTAATTACAAACGTACACATAATGCGTACTTAACTGTAATAAAAAAGTGAAAACGGATATAAATATATAACATTAATTCTATGATTTGAACGCAAGGCAATGCAAAGCAATGTCACCTTTTGGCATAAGGATAGAAATTGCTAAGTATTAAGAGCTATACATTCATTTGAGTTCGCTCAAAGTAAGCCGGTTTCTACTAAATCTCGTCCTTCATATCATGACTATTACTATCAAACTCATTTTTTTGCTTTCCTTTCTGAAATAACTCTAATTAAAGAAACAATCAGTTTCTACATGTAGTTCATATATCATATTCTATGCAAAATTTACATAAATAAATAATAATGTATTTTTTCAACGTGTTTTATGTCTACATGTAACCCTGGTATACACCTTCAATATAACTCCAATTGTCACATGTTTGTCAAAATGTTTACCACTCAATCTAACGGAATGCCGTTGGTTCTATAATGTGACAGCTAGTGTCCTAAGATAAAGTGAACAATAGTGGGATACAATTGCAAAATGCTCGATGACGTAGTATCTTACCATTGGTGAGGTATTTCTCCAACGATAATGCAGGAAGGTTGTCCTCTTCTTTCAATTTTAGAAACAATTACTTTATCAGACTTTCATCTTGTTTTTAAATATGCAAGGGAAACTAACCCATATTCAGCTTTAACTACTTTTAAGTAGTGATATCTCCCTTTTCAAGCAAACGCTTCTGAAAGTCGAAGTATCAAATTATCTTATTCAGTTTTAACAGTTTTAATGATTTTCCGATGAACAAATCATTCTCCTGCATAACAATGGAATACTAATGTACTACCTAATAAGGCCAAACGGTATATGCATGACATCAGGACTTAGTGTTCCAATTACCTATTTTACACTCCTGGTTTTAAGGTACATTATGCCTGAAAATGCTTTCTGTTTTATTATTTCAGATAGGGTATCCGTTAAATGTTTATAAAATGGTTATAGAGCAATTGAGCTGCTCATCATTTGGAGAAAGTAACTCTTAATGTGAAATTATTTGTTTTAAAAATAGTAATATGTTAACAAGGAAGTATTTTGACTTCCATACAAAATACAAAATACCTATATCATGACTAATTGCAACAAAAAAGAAACAAAGGAAAAAATAACGTTCAGATTATTGGCCAATGAGTACCGTTTTGGGAAATACCCCGGTATAACAGGACAGAAAACTTAAAAATAGTTATCAAAAATAAAACATTTCAGGGACATATATAAATGAAAATAAAATTATTTCTAAGGCATAACAGTTACTGAATAAATTATTTATGCTTATTTAAAAAATAATAATGTCTGGGGAAGTAAATTCTTCAAAATGTTGCTACAATGGTTGTTACAGTTAGTTCTCTTATATTTTACAACAGTACCAAATAATAAGGGCGTTCTATACAAAATTACAGATTGATCTACCACCATTTGTACTGTGATGATGGATTTAAAAGGTTAAAAAGGAAGGTTTTCTTTTAAAACTGGGATATCTCCATCAGATGTTGATAAAGAAAGAAGTTAAGCTTTTATATGCGTCCAGTCGTGACTTCAAGAGTGATTATTGTCCAAATGTACATGTTAATCTAATTTTTACCGCCCACTTAGGTCAACACTGTTTTCATACAGGTACAGCATATTCAAATGTAGCTATGTATACAATGTAAATAAAAGTGTTATACTAATAAACATTTGAAGTGCAATATTTGTTTGGCAAAAAAAAAAATAAAAAAAATATAAGAAATATAAAATTGCCAAAACGAAATTTTAGTGTTTCGAGTATTCATCTATCTTAAAGTAGGTTATTTAATACACACATCAACTGCCTTTTTTAGATCCTTATCTATCCCTGTTTAATTTTCTTTGTCTACTTGACTGGAACTATATTTGAGATATTTGTAACTCGGAAACAAGACATCTGACATATATTACATCATGCACTTATTAATAACTCGGAATCAAGAATTTGACCTATATTACATCATGTTGTAATTAATAACTCGGATTCAAGACATCTGACATATATAACATAATACTTTCATTAATAAATCGGAATCAATACATCTAACATATATTACATAATACTCTTATTAATAACTCGGATTCAAGACATCTTCAAGTCATGCTCTTATATATAACTCGTAACAAGACACCTCACCTATATTACATCATGCTCTTATTTATAACTCGGATTCAAGACATCTGATCTATATTACATCATGCTCATATTTATAACTCGAAATCAAGACATCTGACCTATATAACATCATTCCCTTATAAATCACTCGGAATCAAGACATCTGACATATATTACATCATGCTCTTATTATTAACTCGGAAATAAGACATGTTATTTTTATTTCATTATGCTCTTATTTATACCTCGGAATCAAGACATCTGACCTATATTACATCATGCTCTTATTATTAACTCGGAATCAAGACATCTCAGTTATGTGACATCAAGCTCTAATAAATTACTCGGAATCAAGACATATAATCTATATTATTTCATGCTCATTTAAATAACTCGGAACCAAAATATCTGACCAATATTACACCATGCTCTTATCAATTTCTCGGAATCTAGACATCTGACCGAAATACTGCACCATGCTGTTATAAATTACTCGGAATCTAGACATCTGACCTATATTTTATCATGCTATCATTAATTACTCGGAATCAAGACATCTGCCCTATATTACATCATGCTGTTATGAATTACTCGAAATCTAGACATCTGACCAAAATACTACACCAGGCTCTTATTAATAACTCGGAATCTAGACATCTGACCTATAATTCATCTTGCCCTTATTAATAACCCGGAATCAAAATATCTGACGTATACGACATCAAGCTCTTATTAATTACTCGGAATCAAGACATCTTATCTATAGTTCATCATGTTCTTATTAATAACCCGGAATCAAAATATTTGACCTATATTACATCATAATCTTATTAATTACATGGAATAAAATCATTTGACCTATAATATTACATCATGTTCATATCAATTACTCGGAATCAAGACATCTGACCGAAATACTACAACATGCTCTTATGTATTACTCGGAATCAAGACATCTGACCTATATTATATCATGCTCTTATTAATAGCTAGGAATCAAGACATCTGACGTATATTACATCATGCTCTCATGAATTACTCGGAACAAAGACATCCGACATTTTACATCATGCTCTTATTAATTACTCGGAAATAAGACGTCTTACCAATATAACATTATGCTCTTATTATTAACCTAGGAATCAAGACATCTGACCCATATTATACCATGCTCTTATTATTGAATCGGAATCAAGACATATAACCTATATTATATCATGCTCATTTAAATAACTCGGAACCAATATATCTGACCTATATTACATCATACTCTTATCAATTACTCGAAATCTAGGCATCTGACCGAAATACTGCACCATGTTGTTATTTATTACTCGGAATCTAGAGATCTGACCTATAGTTCATCATGCTCTTATCAATTACTCGGAATAAAAATATCTGACGTATATTACATCATGCTCGTATTAATTACTCGGAATAAAATCATTTGACCTATCTAGACATCTGACCTATATTATATTATTCTCTTATAAATTATTCGGAATCAAGACATCTGACGTATATATCACCATGCTCTTATTAATTACTCGGAATCTAGTCATCTGACCTATAATTCATCATATTCTTATTAAAAACTCGGAATCAAAACATCTGACCTATATGACATCATGCTCTTATGAATAACTCGGAATCAAGATATCTGACCTATATATCATCATGCTCTTATAAATAACTTGGAATCAAGACATCTGACCTATATTACATCATGCTTTTATTTATTACTCGGAATCAAGACATTTGACCTATATATCATCATGCTCTTATTTAAAACTTGGAATCAAGACATCTGACCTATATGTCATCATGCTCTTATTAATAATTCGGAAACAAGACATCTGACCTAAAAAATATCATGCTCTTATTAATAACTCGGAATCAAAACATCTTACCTATATCACATCATGCTCTTATAATTAACTCGGAATCAAGACATCTGACATAATATTAACTTACATCATGCTCTTATTTATAACTTGGAATCAAGACATGTCACCTATATTACATCATGCTCTAATTAAAAACTCGGAATCAAGACATCTGACATATATTACATCATGCTCTTATCAATAACATAGAATCAAGAATTTGACCTATATTTCATCATGTTGTAATTAATAACTCAGAATCAAGACATTTGACCTATATTACATCATGTTCTTATTGGTTTTGCAGACGAAAAGGTGCTACCTGTTGTAAGTTATTTACCACATCTAACTTAACGGAAAATAGCGATTCCAAAATTTGCAAATAATATTTGGCAAAACGTAGACACAGATAATACGTTTTCAACAGTTTTATTTTCTAGAAGTCATAGATAATCGATATAAGTCCCCACACTGCAATCATATACAGACACCAACAGTTTTTTTTTCTAGATGTTTAATGAAGAAGCATACAATATACAATAGATTTACAGTTTTCACACAATACTTGTACACCATGAACGACGAAAGTATATATTTGTCAATACATTTCATATAGAACCATACAAAACACAATTGTTTTAGAATGTACACATACTAACCATATACTATAAAAGTATATATTTTTCTATGCATGTAATCCAGAAGCATATAATATACAATTGTTTTACAGTTTTCACACAACAATTATTCAACATGAAAGTATGTATTTGTCTAGGTATTTAACATAGAAGCATAAAATATATCGACAATTGTTTAAATTTTGTTTTACAGTTTTTACACAATACTTATACATGATGAACGATGAAAGTTTATATTTGTCAGCACATTTGATGTAGAACTATACATTATACAATTATTCAACATGAAAGTATGTATTTGTCAGCACATTTGATGTAGAACCATACATAATACAATTATTCAACATAAAAGTATATATTTGTCAGCACATTTGATGTAGAACCATACATAATACAATTATTCAACATGAAAGTATATATTTGTCAGCACATTTGATGTAGAACCATACATAATACAATTATTCAACATAAAAGTATATATTTGTCAGCACATTTGATGTAGAACCATACATAATACAATTATTCAACATGAAAGTATATTTTGTCAGCACATTTGATGTAGAATCATACATAATAAAATTATTCAACATAAAAGTATATATTTGTCAGCACATTTAATGTAGAACCATACATAATACAATTATTCAACATGAAAGTATATATTTGCCAGCACATTTGATGTAGAACCATACATAATACAATTTTTCAACATGAAAGTATATATTTGTCAGCACACTTGATGTAGAACCATACATAATACAATTATTCAACATAAAAGTATATATTTGTCAGCACACTTGATGTAGAACCATACAAAATACTATTATTCAACATGAAAGTATATATTTGTCAGCACATTTGATGTAGAACCATACATAATACAATTATTCAACATGAAAGTATATATTTGTCAGCACATTTGATGTAGTTCCATACATAATACAATTATTCTACATGAAAGTATATATTTGTCAGCACATTTGATGTAGAACCATACATAAACAATTATTGAACATGAAAGTATATATTTGTCAGCACAATGATGTAGAAACATATATACAAGAGCTGTCGGTAGGACAGCAACGCTCGACAATTCTAAGTGCTTGATAGCAAAGGAGCCTTGATAATTAAAAATTTCTAAGTTCATAAAATACTTATTTTTTTACAAATCTATGTTATAGGCCGTGGAGAGAGTCCTATTGTGCTCACAAAGAAGTGTATAAAATTTCACCTTCAATTTCAAAGTAAGATGTCAATGAAATATGAAAATATCTGAGGTGGTACGCAAACTTAAATGTAAATTCAAAGTTGAAAGAGGAGAATAATTCTGTCAAAATGCTTGAAACAGTTACCTCCTCCTGTCTACAGGTTGGGTTATGATGGTGAACAAGTGTTCAAAGTTTCAAAGCCATATGTTAATGGACTTTGAAAATATTTGAAGTATTACAAAAGCTTTAACAGAAGTGGTTACGCCGACCCAAACGCTCAGGTGACTACAATAGCTCTATTTATTCTTATGATATACAATTGTTATACATTTTTCTTATAGAACAACCATTCACTATGAAAGTATATACATGTATTGATCTAGGCGATTAACGTAGAACCATACAATATACAATTGTTTTTACCATTTTCACATACCAATCATAGACGATGAAAACACATAAAAAATATAAACGATATAACTATATAAAAAATCAAAATAGATATGTGAAAACATGCAACAAGATACGTGTAATTGACTGGTGAATGATAATACATGATATCAAAACTACTTGTATTAGTGATTGGACTATTTTTTGTCAAATGTCTAGTTATAATTAAACCATAGTTTAATATCTGAAAGGATGACCTTATTTTTTTTCAGAATTTCATGTCTACCTCACAGGAATAAGACGCTTTGATTTGATATTAAGGAATTTCTCTTTGCCTTTTTATAGCCGATATTCGGCCATATTCCCAATTGACTATAGTATATTATTTTTCTAATCCACAAGACAAAATTCCAATTTAAAAGTTACAAAATAAAAATATTAACTACCAAGTTCTTAGAAAAATTAAATAAGGGGCTCTTCAATGTTATGGTGCTCAAACGTATGAAAATATTATCCTAGACAGTGATTGTTTGCATTTATTTAATCACTACAAAGTCATGCATTTTTCCCAATATTTAACAAACCATCGTTCAAATTCCAAATTCCAAGGGTATGGGTCATGATCCTTAAATCCTGGAAAAAACACTGGATATTATTCCCCTACGACTTCTCTTGTATAACTAATACTATAGAGGTATAATGAAGTTATCTAATTTTATTGTTCTTATAAATAGTAAATGGAGAAATTGACTTTAATTATTGTTTGGGGTGGGGGGGGGGTAACAGTGACTGGAGGAAGGGGGAGGGAGTAGCAGTGACGGATATTATCAGATCCAAGCGTCTTATCCCTGTGGTTTCCCTCATGCTACTTAACATCTTGTCTAACTTCGACACTATTTTAATGGACTGTAGACTAAGAAACTGCATGTATACTAGTAACTGTTTTGGCCTAGCACCTTTTGGTCAGGCCCCTTGTTCACAAAGAAAAGATCAGGGTCAGGATCAAATGATTCTGATTTTATTTTCATTGTTTTATAAAACTAAACTGATCGTATTACGTATGCTAGGCTTTTTTTTTTAATGTCTTCACTAGTACAGTAACTTATTTTTTGTGTATAAATAAAACACATTTATTGTAGAAAACACAAAAAACCATGTGTTGAATATAAAATATGACAATGCCTCCAGCTTTTCATTAAAAATAGTTTAAAAAATTAAAAAATTCTAACAGAATAAAAAATACATTTAAACAAACACAAAATGTTTGATTTACAAAAAAAAAAAAATGTTTGATATTTTGTCATTTCGTTTTGTAACGTGATTACCTGCTGAAAAAGGATTAAATTTTGTCTCATAAGGATACTATTTCAACTGATTATATGATGTCCTGTTATTTTATGATGTAACATAGTTATATTCGGTGACGTGATTTAATGTTGAAACGTGATAATATGCTGTCACATGATAATATGCTGCCACGTGGTAATATGCTATCTGTGATGCTTAGTCACCAATCTGTTAACTGAAAATAGCTGAAAATGTAAATGATCTACAGCATACGTCAATCAGAGATAAAACTTTTATTAAACCATGCCTGCTACAAAAAAAAAAAAACCTGATAATTAAAAAAAATGTTCTTTTGAGTACGACCATTCAATTCTTTGAATTTATGAAATCTTCTTTTGATTACTTATCTTATTTTCTTCTTATCATCATTGATGACGTTCTCAATGACAAACGGCCATCAAACCTATAATGAATGTGTCCACAATCACCTATGTAGGCACCGGGAAATTCACATTCCGTGCCTGGCGTCGCATAGTATCCATTTAGATTGACACGAGTACATGCATCATACCACCAGGCTCCATGTTCCCTCACGGCGCAGTCCGTAACACTAATGCCCAGATCACGGTCGTAAGTTGAAAATGACTGTTGATTATTATACTCAAAGCCATACAATGTTCCTAGGGATAAAAAGACAATATTAATTAGTTCTAGCTATGTCATTGTCAAACTTTGTTATCAAGACAGTTTGCATGTTGACAAACCCAAATTCCATTAACAACAAGTTACTATCCCTACAATCATACAAAACACATCATCCGGTTCATCGCAAATGATATAAACAATTGTTATATATTATGGCAAAGCAGGTCCAATATCAGGCCAGTAGAACCACAAATATTTGCTATTTATTTTGTTGGTCTTCTAAACCAGTCAGTGGGAAACTTTGCTCTATCAAAGACCGGGTTAATTAGTCTGCGACTGAATGTAGAACATTATGATAAGCGTTATATTGTGCATATTTACTGCTTTCTTCACAAACACATGGAAATTACCATAATATTATGTATAAACGAACACTCAAAGACGATCTCTTAATTGACAGAATAGTAAAATTTAATATTTTATATCAAGCAAAATATAGCAACATTAAAAAATTCAGACATGAATTGGTTCTGCTATAAATAAGATAGGAATTGCCAGTCTGATTATTATATTATTCTTTTGTTATTGTAATATTGTCTTCTTTTATTTGTTTAAAAACATGTTTAATTAAAAGAAGCTGTACGCCAATGAAACGAATAACATAGAAAAGAATTATGGTTTCAAAACATTATTGTTACCTTGACGAAAGTAGCGATAAAGAAAAAATTATTTGTCAAAGACGTAGTTACATAAATATAAACAAGGTAATATGCTGACTTCAATACAAAATAATAAACCACTATATCTGTACTAATTGCCAAAAACCAACAGATAGAACAGATGGTTCAGGTAATCAACTAATGACTCGTGTTCAAGAAATAAAAGTATAATTTTGAGGGGAAAAAAATCATTTTCAAGGCATAATTTGCCTTTATAGCTGTTTAATCTATATTACATTACGAACCAAATAGTCGTGAGAGATTCTGTTTGCTAGCCTAGTTTTTTCTTTGAGAAATTGAATTTGCTTTTGTCTCATACTATAACTGCTGTCAACCGCTTACTTTTTATTGGTTTTTGAGCTGTTGTGCTTTCATATACCTAGGAAGACAAAAAGTAAATGAACAAAGATAATATTTTTAAAAAAGCTGTTATATCAGCATAAAAATCTCACTGCTCATTCCAGAACTTGTGCATGACTCAATGTTTAGTGTATAACGTGTTCCTTCTGTTAACTTAAAGCCTGGACATGTTTCATGACCTGTTGTTCCATCGCTTCTTGTCATGTCAAGACGAATCTCTGTAGAACCTTGTTCAGCTGCATTCTTGAAAATTTTTTAAAACCTGCAAAAATTTTATCAAATGTAAATTTAAAAATTTAGTTTTTTTAAAACCAAGATTTTAGTGAATTACCCTTAAATTTCATATACAAATTAAAAACCGTTACAATAAAATAACATTGCTTCTATTTAGGGAAAATTAAAACCTAAAAAAATTCCTAATACAATTTAACCCTTAAAAAATTTTGGTTTTTTAAATTTATTAAAATTATGTTTTAATACACTTCATAACTTAAAGTTTCAAAAAACTTTAAACAATAAACATGTTTATAATACAAAACAACTTAAAATTTTATAATAAACTTAACAATTAGGTTTTAAAATCTTTCCTTTAACAGTTTTTATTTTTAAAAAACCCTCAACAAATTTTTAAAACCAACAAATATTTACAATAATAAAAATTAAATTGTTTTCAAAACCTTCAAAAATTATTAAGATTGCATAACGGCAACAAAAAAGTTCTTTGATTTTAAAATTCTATTTGTTTTTGTTTTCAAAAACTCTTTCAATGTCAAAACCATCTTATTCGCTTTCAAAAAATAATGTTTTTATTTTTTCTGATTTTACTGCCAATGAAAAATTACTTTAACATTTTTAAAATCCAATGATCAAAGGAAAAATATTTTTTCAACCTATATAGTTTCCCATCAACGTTAAAACCTTTTTTACCTAAATTTTATAAAAATATGACCCCCATTCGCCATAAATGCTAAAAAAATTGCAAAAGGTAACCTTAAGTTAAGTTTATTTATTACTAAAATTATCAAGTGTGTTTGTCGTTTTTTAAGTAAGGGTTATATTCATTTCAAAGGAAGGCCCAATCTTTTTTTCTTAAAAAATTTTTTTTTTACTTTTTATATTATGCCATTACAATTTTACTCATTTTTTTTCAATACGTTTGAAATTTATTACATCTTTTTTGTAAAACTGAAATTTTTAAAAGTGAAATATAAAATTAAAAAATTAAAAAAGCAGCCCAACTTAATTGATGGGTTTAAAAGGAATCTATATTTAGTGTGGAAATTTCGTAATTAGTACGAGAAATAAAAAAAAATATACTCTGTTAATTTTTCAACGAAAAATGCCTGAAAAATTGGAATAAAAAAGCAATTTTTTATTTTACGCTATTTGGGGACTATTTTATGGTTATTTGTAATAACAAATAATTTTCTTTAGGGGTTAAATATGTTATCATTGGGGTGTGAACCCGGAAAGAAAATTTTCAATCAAACATTGGGGAAAAAAAATTCATACCGTCCAACCACCGTTCGGTTTCCATGTCACAATTCACGTCAGAATCTTCCCAGATTTCCATAGTTCTATCTCATATTGTCCACTTTTCGCCTTTTCGTCCTTATCAAGGACTTCTTTACAATCACTTGGTACTAGGCAAAGATTAAAACAGTATTTGTAACAAGAATGAATGATTCATGCAAGTGTTTTAACAATTAATTCCATAAATTGTGTAAATAAAAACATCAAAAGTGACGTTTATCTATTATACACATTTGCCATAATGTTTATACATGGTTGGAAAATCTTACCATACCTAAGGTATTTTTATGGCGTAATAAGAGAGTTCTCGTAACATCAACCGCAGCACAAATATCAAACTGCAATTTTCAAAAGAGTTAATGTAACTGTGAAATAATTCATATTTTCAAAGACAAGTATAGCGACATTGCCATTTTTCTATATCCATGTTCCTTTCCACTGTATAAAACTTTTTTGTAAATGTTCTATGCATGATGCAAATTGCTTCCAAACTTTACATGTTTACAAGTTAGAAAACAATGTTGAAGGTAGAGTTAGGGAGAAGTCAAAAATACTCACCTCCGAATTGAAAATCTGTTTTCAAAGAATATCATTTCATTTCGAAATACAACGATAATAACAACAATGTCAGTAGAAATTTTACTTAAATAAGCCAAAAAAGGGAAGAAAGAAATCATTTAATTTTGCTATTTTATTTTTCATAGTAATTATAATATTCAAAAAAATAATATTCCGTTTGAAAGATCCTGTATTAATTCTAAAGTAATCAAAGTGGCAATATACCTGTCTGTTTTTTTTGGGTTTTTTTTTGTTTTGTTTTTTTCATTTTCAACTATTTTGGAAAACAAAATCAATAGCTTGATTAATTAAAAAAAATAATTGCCTAAAAGGCATCATCCAATATATTCTCTATTTTTCGGCTTATATATAGGAACTTTAGATGATAAAATATCAATTTATTTGCATAAGCATTTAAGTGCCAAAGTAAATGTTTTGAAAGACGATCTCGCCAGTAAGACAACTTTTATTCCGCCGTCATGGCTAATTTAGACGAAGTATTAAGATAAGAAAAAAAACAGCAATATTTAAATACGTTACATTTTTTCGTGCACGTTGCAGACTGCCATTTTCCTGAAGCCTCACATTTCACCTCTTGTTGACTAGGAACATATCCTTCGTCACATTTTACTTGAGCTACGTCGAGAAACTTGTTTTCGTCAGGAGTAATAGTCTGTATTTCACCATTTTCAATTTTCTGATCAAAAGCACAGGCTGGAAATAATAATAATAATAATAATTATAATAAAAATAATAATAATAAATGATAACAACAACAATAATAATAATAATAATAATGTATTGTCTAAACAATAGTTAATACTTAACATATAAAAGGCCAATTTCTGAATGATTAGTTTTGAAAATATAATGATTTAAGTGCAAATCGTGATCAAGTATCCTATGTTATATCTATGTGAACATATAGTTTCTTGCTGGCAAATGTACTACGTGTATAATGCGTTTTATTTTTCAATTATTTTGTTATTGCTTCGTTTGTTAATCTTATTTGTTATACTCAAAAGCGTTACAATGCTTTCCTCTCAAATAAGGCTAAGAAAAGCACAAATATACGATTTTTACTTGATGTCTGATTATAATTGTTAACTATCATGTGTATGTCTTTCTGTTTCAAGTTTTCCAGTTGATCTACATACGAAATTCAAATTTGTATGATTTTTAGACTTTTGGACATCAGTGGAGTTCCTTCAATACGTAAACGTATCAGTCGGGCGGATTTAAGAAGTGTCCTTTATCTACTATAAAGAACCCTTTTGTACATGTCTTCAAGGGCTTTACGTTTTACAACATGACATCTATCAAACAAAAACTATTGCGTAAATATTTCTTGAAAAATTATACAACATTTAATTCAATAACAAATAAAAGTGTAAAAATAAAAGTTTTTACATACATGTAATTATGTCTTTGCACACATGTGAAGCACCATTTTGGTAACACCTTTGGTTCGCTTTACACGGCCTTGAGCCACAACTTCCAACCATTGACTATAAATAGAAGGAAAATATAAGTAACATTCATTAATTGTTTTGTTGAATTACAAGAACTACTAGTATTAAAATGTGTATTTTCTAAATGAGACACAATTAGGTAAGCTCTACCTATGATTTTATATTATTGGCAAAGAGTGAAAGAGAAACTACTGAGATGATTCCTCGAAACATTATTATTTGCACAATTAAATGTTAAGTCATGAAAATATCATTACCGTTACAAACATGAAAAAATCAATGTTACTTTAAACTTTAAATGTAAGAAAGCTATAAAAATTGTGTCATTTCCGTTTCCAACAGTTGTACATATCGTATCAAGTAATAAATTGAGATACTTACGCTAGGCCATTCGCTGATATCAGAGAATATAGAGCCTTGTTTTGTTTCAAACTCCGATTGATCAACGGACGACTGGTCAACATCGTTTAATTTACACACGTGCTCGTTTCTGTCAAAGTCGATCGATTTACAGACGGACATTGCCATACATGTTTGCGCACAATTGTAGTGGTTTGTATCATTAACTGCGAGAATAGAATGGCCGATCAAGGCTGTGTTGATATTTTCCTTGCTTATTTTAAATGAACTGCATGTGTTTGAGTAAACTGTTCCGAATAAAACAGCGTTAATTATTATAATTCTAGCAGTCAAAGCCATTGTATTAAAACTAAAATATTTTTTTGTAATTAGCCAACAGATATATAAAAATGAAACGGCGACCGTATCTAAAAACACAGAAAAGTCCCGTCTCTATGGTATGTTAAATGTGCACTATATATACGAGTAAGGCAGGTTCACGTAAAATGTATAAAACACGCCCTCGTTATTGATCTTTGGTGAATCGTCCAATCTAATACTAGTCCTATATAATTCATCAAATACATATCAACGAAGTTTGGTTTTGTTTTCATATCAAGGACTTTCGCAAAGTAATCTATCTTGACGTATTGGTAGTTGGCTGTAAATCAAAACTAAACATCGGCGTAACGAAGTAGTATGACACCTATATGATAATGACAAACGGTCATCATTTTTTGCAAACAATGTAAACTCCCCGTTGATAATATTATAAGTAAGATTTTTAAATATCATGACCTCTCCACACGAAGAATGCCCCCATGGTAGCCAGTATGTACATTAACGACATGTCAATTAAGATTTGTTTTGTTTCGACGTTCCGTACGCTAGTTTGATAGCTTCCACACATGAAAGAATCAAAAGTCCCTGTCGGGATTCGAACCTACAACAGAGAGAGGCAAGTGGTTTTAAGTCAACAACCCTAACCACTCGTAACCACGAACGCCCAATAGAAATGAAAAGTTGACTATTGACTCCGTTAAATCGTATAACTTCAGTGTAATTCTATGCAAACTAGATAATTCAAATGATATTCATAGTTCATTGTTTGTTTGTGTTTTTTTTTGTTTGTTTGTCTTTCTTTCTTTCCTTTCTTTTCTTCTGACGTGAGCAGTTTTTGTCATCACTGTTAAATTCAGTGCGTAAATAAAAGCCGAGAAGATGGCAAAACGACATCGCTGTGAAATGTTTATGCCCTGATAAAATGTTTAGGAATGTTTTCATAAAATATACAACAGCTGCCTTTTTTTTTATCTTAGGACGTATATTTCATGTGTGCAATCAGTGTTATTTAATTTCATAACATTTATAATTTATTATTAAAATGTAATATTTCAGTCAAAATGTAATTTCAAAACTCATAGACCTGTGATTTACTTGTGATAAGGATGGTTAAGTGTACATGTAGATTTAAAAACGAAACGTTTTGAAATATGCATATGTTTTTAATTGCGTTCTTCTAAAACCAGCTTCGCTCGGGATGTACATTAATTAAAAAGTGAAAAGCTATAAGGCACTTAAATATGGCAATTGAAAAAATGAGATAGTTTTGATGAATATCTCTTGGGTTGGGCTTAATTTTATTTATTTGTATTAATTTTAGAGCAGAGCAAATTCTGTTGTGAGGTAGTGCAAATGAGATTCTTGTTTTAAAAATGTCTCGGAAACATACCTTGCACAAATTCTCAATGGAAAAAAATCAGATTCATAATGGCCGAGCTGGAGAGCCAATCAAAATTCCCCAATCTCATTATAGCCGAGTTTTCTCATAAAGGTCGTAAATGGGGCATAATTACCTTGTTTGATGTTCATAATGTCGTGATGAACTTCATATTAGCCTTACATTTAAAGTGAAAACGTGCCCAATATTGAAAAGTTAATTAATAATTAAATATATTAGTGCTGTTGGATTCCTGTATATTACAACACCATTTTAGAAGGAAAATATGTGAAATGTTGCTGAGAAGTGTTGCTCTAAATTTTAATTCTGAAATCGTTCCGGAAACGGATACCACAAATTTAAAACTTGCCATTCATAACCATACGCTTTTATTTATTTATTTTTTATTATAATTTACAATAACACTCAGTTTGTATAATTTACAAAAAACATGAGCACATCAAATATGCCGTCATATAAAAGAAATAGGTCACAATGATGCTTAGGTAATGACATAAAAAACAAACAAGAATAATAATAAACATAGAAGACAACAATATAGATTTATGTTTGTAAGCTGATACGTATATCGTATCGAATACATATATTAAAAAGAGCAATTTAATGGCATAAATCGGGTTCTATCCTGGTTAAGGGAATTTCATTTCAATATTCTATCTAATTGGTTGATTCTTATCATCGCCCCATATACATAAGTTTTGGTATTGATTGACATATCGTTTTTATTTCAAATGTGAATTACCTGGAATATATATGGAATTATATAAAAAAAAAGGAGAAAAAAAGATCAATAAAAGATTCGTATTCAAATAACACGAATTGTTGAATCGGAATATCCTAATTATTGCCGTTATTATTTGTAGTCTAGCCAATATTTGGATTTGTTTGTTTTTTTTTTTTGTTGTTGTTATTTTTTTTTATGCCACCGCAGCATCTGCGATGCGGTGGCATATAGCGATTCACCTGTGTGTGTGTGTGTGTGTGTGTGTGTGTGTGTGTGTGTGTGTGTATGTGTATGTGCGTGTGTTTGTGTGTGTGTTATATAGATTATATAGTGAACTTAAAAAATCTTCTTGTGAAAAACCACTAGATAAGTCCAATTTCAACCAAACTTGGCAGAATTCTTCCTTGGGTGAAGGGCTTCCAAAGTTGTTCAAAGAATTTCATTCCATGCATAAATCTGGTTGCCATGGCAAACAAAAGGAATTGTAAGAATGAATTAAAAAAAATCTTCTTGTAAAGACCCAAAAGGCCTAGAGCATAGATATTTTGCATAAGGCATTTTCTGGTAGACCTCTAACATTAGTGTTCAAATTATAGCCCTGGGGTCAAAATTGGCCCCGCCCCGGGGGTCATTGATTTTCACTATGTACATATAGTAAAAACTTAAAAAACCTTCTAGTAAAAACCCAAAAGGCCTAGAGCTTAGATATTTTGCATAAGGCATTATCTGGTAGACCCTTTCCAAGATTGTTCAAATTATAGCCCTTGGGTCAAAATCGGCCCCGCCCCGGGGTCATTGAGTTTCGCTATATGTATATATATAGTAAAAACTTTAAACACCTTCTTGTAGAGACCCAAAAGGTTTAGAACTTAGATATTTTGTATAAGGCATTGTTTGGTAGACCTTTACCCAGATTGTTCAAACTATAGCCCTGGGGTCAAAATCGGCCCGCCCAGGGGTCATTGGTTTTCCAATATGTATATAGTAAAAACTTAAAAAAAATTCTTCTAGCAATTCACAAATGCTAAAGGTTAGATATTTTGCATGAAACATTGTGTTGTCAAACTCTAGCAAGATTGTTCAAATTATAGCCCTGGGTTCAAAATTGCCCCAGCCCTGGGGGTCATTGATTTCAATATATACATATAGCAAAAAAAAAATTAAAAAAAATCTTATTGTCTGAAGGTACAAGGCTTAGAGCTTTAATATTTGTTAAATAATATCATCTAAAGGTACTCTACCAAAATTGTTCAAATTTTGCCTCTTGTGTCAAAATTAGCCCCGCCCCTGGGAGCCATAGGTTTATCCTATATGTATATAGTTAAAACTTAAAAAATCATCTTCTCTAAATTTACAAAGGATAGAGTTAAGATATTTTGCATGAAACATTGTGTAGTGAACATCTAGCAAGATTGTTCAAATTATAGCCCTGGGGTCAAAATTGGTTCCGCCCCGGGGGTTATTGATTTTCATTATGTACATATAGTGAACAAAAAAAATGTCTGAAGGTTCAAGGCATAGAGCTTTGATGTTTGATATATAAAATCATATATAGGTCCTCTACCAAAGTTGTTCAATATTACAATGAATATTACAAGCTCCGTCAGCAACTTCGTGAGCAAAATCTTTTGCATGCCAAAAAATTGCCCGAAGACATTGCGAAGGTTCATTTTCGTGTTGAATTCGTATGTCAATTTTGCCCTTCGTAAGGCTGCCGTGAAGCCATCTTGTCAAATCGGGTAGTCTTCGTCTTTTCTTCGTGTGATCATCGGTGCAATATGACATTTTTAGCCTCAAGAAGACAATACGAAGTAAACACGAAGATTCCCGATTGTCTTAAAAAGGGAAAACGACTACGTGAAGCCCCCGCAATACCGTCGTGTCGCCATCGTATTTTGGTACGATGCCATCGAGATGAAACCACGATGAGGCCGAAAATAGCAATTTTTAGTGGCTCAAGCGTTGCATGTTTATCATGGTGGACATAATAAACGGCTAGACCATCTTCCACATCTGTTACTCTTGCACATCTCTACAGAGACATCGAAAGCTTCCATTATTTGCAATTAATTTACAATTATTTTCAGTTTATTTCCTGTAGAAATTACATGCTTTGATGATGCGTCAACCGAGAAAAAGAAGGCAGCAGCATTGCTACTTTTAAGACACCTTGGAAAACATAATGAGGCCCACGGGCCCACTTTGAGTGGTATGATAAAGTTTTATCAAATATGATAAACAAGACCAACAAAGAAAGGCAACGTCCAATGAACGCAACCCACACACAACCAAGCAACAACAACCAAGTAACACAAAAGGACCCCCCCCCCCAAGAAAAACTGACAGGGCGCAAGGAAGAACACGGATAGGCTTTCATTTAAATGATACATAAGACCAAATAATGGTAAACGACAAGGAAATCAAAGAAAACAAATAAATGATAGATTTATTTAATAAAAAAAACTAGGGGAAGAAGGGAAAATACTTACCGTAGACGAGAAAACAACAAGGGATGCCGACAAAAGTGTCACCAAAACAGTATAAAATAACAAAGACATGCATCTGAGGAACAAAGAGGGGCGCCGCCTTGGACCGGTCAGCAGCATAAGCACTGCTGGGGAGTTTAAACCGGTTAATAGTGCACCAAAAACACTCTTAGCCCACCATGTTCCTATAAACCAGACAGTGTAAATAAAATGAATCCCCGCCAAGTAAATTTATAGCAGTTGTTATGGTTTCAAAAGGTAAAACAAGTAAAACACCGAGATGATTATGTAGATACATATAAAGGAATACCCATATGACCATAACAAAAGTACTCAACAAGTACAAATGTTGCTGCAATGCAGCAATTGAGAAGCTCCGCGCAAAAAATGCGCTCATTACAGATACCATACCAAATTATTCCTATACGCACAGGGTTATATTCAGATGAAGTACTATTGTAGATTTTTTCCGAATGTTTTGTAAACCATTTTTTGCATAATTATACTTATCTAATGCACTGTCCATAATTAAAAAG